GAGTACATAGAGATATACAAAAATAATTAAAGATACAAAATACAAAATGTAATAATAATAACAACTATGATGACGATGATACGTTTGGGGAACTTCTTACGAAAAAATATGAAATGGAGAAACAGATTACTTCACACTGAGAGTACTCGTATGTTACAGAAACCAAATAATTACGAACTAAAATGGAAACAACACGTAAAAAGGGCCCTAAATATTTCGCTCCCGAAGCAAACAAACTCCCAAGGAACAGAGGGACATTGGAATATACAGAAATGGATAGCAATGATACCAGAATAGAATTAGAGCTCCCAGTTCTTGAGTTGGAGGAATAATCAGAACTATTCGGGTAGCAGGACTAGTTCAGTTAGTATCGTGACAGGCTACAGGCTTGACGAATGCCGTTCGATCCTAGCAGGGTCAGGTGTATTTTCTTCTTCCAACAGCGCCAACACCATAACTGAGGAGACCACAGCTCCCTATTCAGTCGGTATTTGAGGCTATTTACCCGGGGATAAAACAGCCGAAACCTTAAACTGATCACTCACCACCATCCGGCTCCCTCGTTAAGAATGCATGGAGCTATTTCTCCTCCCCCTCCACGTCCTTATAACATGGTGATTAATTAAGCACGGGAGCAACATATTATTCAGAAATAATCAGAGAATAAGGTAGAACTTAGGGGCATGAAAAATTCTTTCTTCTGGGATATAGACGCTATTACAATAAATTCTTCGAAGGCCTTCGATTTAGTTCCCCATGATCGGCTGCTTACGAAAATTGCGGACTCGGGAGTGGCCTCGAGGGTAATTGCATGGATAAGAGAATTCATTTTGGGTCGTAAACAGGGCAATTACCGGGGGAAGTCACTAACGTCAGGAGTACCGGAAGGAAGTGCACTGGGTCCACTGCTGTTCCTTGCGTACGTACACAGAGAGTTAGAGTAGGAGGGCAATTACCGGAGGAAGTCAGAGTAACGTCAGGAGTACCGGAAGGAAGTGCACTGGGTCCACTGCTGTTCCTTGCGTACGTACACAGAGAGTTAGAGTAGGAGGGCAATTACCGGAGGAAGTCAGAGTAACGTCAGGAGTACCGGAAGGAAGTGCACTGGGTCCA